TGAAGAATTACCAACAGTAGTACCCACAGTAGGTTGTGAAGTATGAGTTCCCGCTACACCGGATACTTCTTGAAGAATTGGAGCTGTGAGGCTCTCCTGATTATCAGTCTGAACTCCATCATTTATAGGTAAGAGTCCATCAATATTATTTTGTATGGATTTTTTAGGTGCCAACATCTCATCACTCGCAGCAGCAGTAACAACAGTTTCATGGGGGAGATCCTCAGGGGCAACAGACACCTCATTTCTGATAGTATGATCCTCAGGTGAAACTAAAATGTCCACAGCAGTAGGGTTAGACCCATCGTTATTCACTTGAACCTTAGATTTCAAATTAGGATGAAACTTGTGGCATTTATCAAGGACATGACCACACACCTTACAACATCTTACAGTGGGTGCAATATGGAGGTTTGTGTTCTATGACGATTTGTTGCTAATAACCATTATGGGTTGTGCCCAACCAGACTTCAGTAACATCAGGTAAAGTAACATCTCTTTCCACAAGTATTTTGGCCACCGAGGGTCTGGTTAGGTTGAAAGTAGGCAGATCTAGTTTTACAGAATCCCCAAAAATGGCCCCAATATAGTAGAGAACCTGATGGTGAAAAAAATGCAGTTTGAGACCAGATAAACTAAACCATACCGGTATAGTGGGAGTTTCATGATTTGGGTCGAAATTAGGAGACCACTTGAGTAACTTCATTGATTTGCCTTCGATATATATTTCTTGGAGAAAATCTTGGTGTAGTCTTCATCCACTATTAGTTGGATCAACACATGTCTCTTATCCATGAGTCTCACTTTCCACTTGTCTGCTAGCTTAAGATTATCAACATTTTTTTCTGATAATATCCATAGGAGGGTGTCCCCACTGAAATTTTCCAATAAGAGTAAACTTGAATTTTTCCGTCAGAGTAGAAATTTCTGATTCCGAGAGTATATATATATATATATATATATTGAGAAAGCCCAATGACTAATATATTAAAAACAAAGTAGGATACAGATAGATTGTGTGGGAGCGCCCAAACATGACACCCTGCCCACACGATAACCACCATATGCAAATGGTTCCAAAATAAGAAAATACAAAAAAAAAGAGCTAAAGAAAAGAAAAACAAAAAAGTGTCAAAATCTGGATTATCAGGTAACTAAATAGCGACCCAATTTTGATTTGCCTCTGCCTCTAATTCTATGGAAGGAGCCAGCTAATAAATTGGTGAGATGAGTGTTATTGCCAGTATTGACCAGTGTATCATCCAATAAATTCCCGAGCTCGAGTCTGCCTCCATTTTTCTTCTTCCTCCTGGAATAAATTTGACATTCCTCATCCGAATATTGGCTCTCCTGGTCAATGGATTGATCTAATGTGTGTCGGACATGTGTAGGTTGTTGCATTAGAAGCAACTACTTCTTGTACTAGCTGATCTTTTATCGGATCAGGGGAGTGGGAGAACTCTTATGTTTCCTGACATGTAAGTGGGTCATCTTCAATAACAGTGAATGATATGAACACGTTTGGATCTGTACCTATATTATGGTGTTCTTCATCAGGAACTGCAGTGTTGGCAAGGGGGGATCCACAGGCAAATCGAACATCAAATCCTGTCTTGTGGGAACTTCCTCCACAAATTGAGCAGATATGTTCATAGCAATGGGGTTAGACCCCTCTTTGTTTTGCTTGAGCTTTAGTTTTCAAGTTTGGATGAAGCCTGTGACATTTAACAAGTGTATGCCCAAACATCTTACAGTGGGTACAATAGAAAGTTTTATGTTCCATGATAATTGGTTGTCAATATCCATTGTGAGTTGTGTCCAGCCAGACTTCAGTAAAATCAGGTAAGGTAATATCTCTTTCCACAAGTATTCTGGTCACAGAAGACCTGGTTAGGTTATAGGTGGACATATCTGGCTTCATAGGATCTCCAAGAATGACTCCAATAGAATAAAGAATCTGATGATTAAAGAAATGCAACTTGAGAACAGGTAAACTAATTCATACCGGAACAGTAGGAGACTCATGATTTAGGTTAAAATCAGGAGACCACTTGAGTAACTTCATTGACTTGTCTGCAATGTTGAGATATTTTTTAGAGAAAATCTTAGCATAGTCTTCAACTAGGGTTAACTGAATCATCACATGTCTCCCATCCAAAAGTCTCACATTTCATTTGCCTAAAAGTTTGAGATCGTCAACACTCTGATCGTCAACCCTCTTTCTAATAACTTCCATAAATGGGTGCCCCCACTGAAATTTCCCAACAAGAACGAACTTGAATTTCTTAGTTATGGTTGAAATTTCTGAATCAGAGAAAAATAATATTGTTTTCTCACTCTTCCTACTTATCTTCTTAAGAAAGCAACAATCACTCGTACCATCACGACATTCTTTATAGCTTGAGGGGAAGATAATAGTAGATTCCGCAAGATAATTATCCACCACGTGGGCGAAAGAAGCTTTGTCGGGATCAACCGAAGAAGAAGGAAGCGCCATAACGACGATCCTTCAGCCCGCAGATGCAAAAGCCAAAGCACCCAACCGGCAAAGAACCCAAACGGTCGAAACCGATGGAGCGCGACCAGAAGCAAATGGACACTCTTCGGGTCGTCGAACCCGCGGAAACAAGTGCAAGACGGAAGAAACAGGTGTGTACTGGTCGAAACAGCAGTCGGGTCGTCGAACCCGCGGAAACAAGTGCAGGACGAAAGAAACAGGTGTGTACTGGTCGAAACAGCAGAACGTGAGCAGTGAGCACAGCCCAATTCGAACGGCCCTACAGCGAGCAGGCGCAGCACAATCGGCCCCAAAGCGAGCAGTGAGCACAGGCGTAGCTCAACGAAGCAGGCGACTGAACAGAGGAGTGTACTCCCCTTCTTCTACAAGCGTGGAATTACAAGTAGCAGAGACTAGGGTTTGCCTCGACGAAGCAGACAACATTTTCTTCCATATATATATATATATATATATATATATATATACTCATATTTTTTTCTCACTTGAATCAAATATTCTTCTCAATTCTACTCACAAAAATTAATAACTACATAATGCTATAAAAATTGGTTTATAAATAAAAACATAAACATTTATCTCCACTTGCTCTCTTTCTTGCTCCTTACAAAATCTATAATCCAATGACCTAATCTTTTGAATCAAACTTTCTTAATTCCCTGATTCATATTATAATATTAACATTAAAACAAAATTATTAGTTAAAATAAAATCTTTAACATAAATACTTTACTCTTACCTTATATTCCCTGTTTGGTCTCTTAACCCGTGTACGCTGAAAGCTTCTCCTACTCATCCTTTGAAGAAGTCTCGACTTCAACATAGAATGTGAGAGGTCGTCTGCTTCCCTCCTTCCTCTTGTCTTACTTCACTCGCAGAAAAGTTGCACGCCTTATGGATGTCGGCTAGGGTTCCGCATAACGCATCCAGCTCGACAGTGGCATCGCATGCGAAGCACCTTGACATATTCTTCTTCTCTGCTCAAACCTTCACGCAAAGTCGTTCCTCCTCCCTTCTTCTTCTCCATCATCGCTCAAACAATAAGCAACGAGGCTTGTTGGGGCTTCGGTTTCGACTCTCGCACACCTCTCCTCTCTCGCAAGCCTTCGACTTCTCTTCTCCTTCGTACACGAAGAACTTAGTGTCGACTTCCTACAAAAGCGTCGAAATCCCTGGTATGATAACCACACGAGAAAACCTCATTCCTTCTCCCACTCTTGCTCTATCGATCTAATCATCTATTTCATTTCGGTTCGCAAGAGGCATTCTTCTCTTAAGTAGAACCACATGGATGGTTACTCATGTCGTTTCAAAATTTCTTTTCCTTATTTATTTGATATTTAATATAAGTATATTTATTATGAATATTATATTAAAAATTTAGTTATTACAATACCTGATCCCAATTCCAACACTTAACACAAAATTATTGAAGTCATTTCTATATCTGAAAGTCGAAAGGAACTATCGTAGCTTCCAATGCTTTGAAAGTTATGACCACAAAACATAAATTCCATCTTCTAGAGCAATGAGAGACTTACATGAACGCACCTCTCTCTCTCCAGAATGGCTCAAAATTAATGTGGAGCCTTACTCCCATCCTATATCGGTGGCATTGCCGCAAGAGATGAAAAAATTGAACTTTTGGCAGCAGGAACATATATTGAACATTGGGATAATGCTCAAGTGGAAGTTCGGGCCATTAACTCTGTCAAACATCTTATAAAGCCGTGGATATATGAAGTCAAGGGTCTCATCATTGAAAGCAACAAACAAAGCATTAGCACCTTCTTTCAACAAAGTCCAAAGATACTTGCAGAGCTAGGCCATAGGATACATAAGTCTTTTCTATTTTGACTGCCTTCAAGCAAGTTTTATTTCAACAAAAAGATGGAAAGAAGAACGCAGTTGCACACAATTGTGCGCATATGGGAATACATAATAGTTTTTTCATGGGAAGTTGGACAGTTCCCACTTCCTATTCTTTTTTGTTGATTTTGACCGAGCCCATGTTTTTGTAGACTAGGTTTCTTGTTTACCACTTGTATATCTTTTCCTTTGTTTAATACAATTTGTACACTATCAAGGAGAATGAGAATGATGTCGGGGCCAACATAAGATGCTCTATGATAGAGTTTGGGGATACAAGGATGAGCTCGGGGACGGATCTCATGTTTTAGGCCAGCTAGAGGAAATCGGATATAGAATATGAGAAGTTGGAGCTTGCAGATGAAAGAGGCTTTGAAACTTGGGTAATGGAACTTTGGGAAAGGAGGAAAAAAAAACTTGTTTTAAAAAAATTGCAAACATCTAAAAAGTTGAGAATTTTTTAAGCAAAAGAATCTAATTTAAAAAAAAAAACAACAAAAGAATCTTATAAAAATTTATATAAATTACTTTATCCAAATTTCAATAAAAACAAAAAAAAAATACCTAACATGAACAAAACAAGTAAATAAATCCAAATATTTTGAAATGGACATACCTTATCCCAATTATACTCCTTTGCATTCCATGAGTAAGCAACACCAATATCCCCTTCTCTGATAACTTTAGTTTGCCCATTAGTCGTGCCTGCAGTAACCATTAGAAGTTTTTAATATTAAGTAAAAAAAGGTTAAATTGCCACGCCAAATAATGACTAACAAAAACAGATAATATGTCATACACATTAGACACCTCTCCCGCCCAATAGTAGTGCAATAGAAAAAGATCATTTAAACAGTCATTTTCCACCAACAGGCATGCTGACTTTTACTCATTAGGAAAGAATGAGCAAAAATTAATCAGTCTAAACCTTCATAAATTACACATAAATTTTCACTAATCTTTATTTACATGTTACAATACTTTATCCAGATTCGCTTAGTTACAAATGGATATATACCTGTTAAAATTCAAACAATACAAGTATACATCAAGAATATAGTGTGACATGTATTATTCAATCATTATATACTTAATCAACCACTATATCTTAATAATTGATCTTAACTTTAATTTTATAAATATATCATTAAATTGTTATGAATAGTGAATCATATACAAATGAATTAAACCTAAATAATAGCATGAAAAAACGCTCAATATGAAGAAATTTATATACGCATATTGTCAAACTCCTTAAGTAGATTGAAAGTCGAACTCTTAAGCATTGAGGCGTCTTTTGATGTAACGATGGAATATCATTAGAAACTACAAAGTTAAAAATGCTCATCCCGGAGCACTCCTTGGATGGGTGACCTCCTGTGAAGTTACAATAATGGGTCAAAATTGTGAGACCACAAGACCAAAGCGGACAATACCTTGATGGTTGAGAGTTCAGGCTGTCACAAATAATCTTAGAGCATTACACCAACAAGAAGATGAGAACCAAATATCATACAAAACAAAGTGCTAAGCCATGAGAGCCAAATATCATACAAAACAAAGTGCTAAGCCATGAGAGCCACCTCTTGAATCTTAGATGGGACAAAGTGCTACATGGTGGGAGCCAACTCTTAAACCACCTTTAGAATCTCATCTGCCTGGTGGATGATTATGTGTATAGAGCACTAATAGAGACGTCAAATACTTAAATGAGGGAGATTGTGAAACTCCTTAAATAGATTGACGTCGAACTCTTACACATTGAGAAGCTTTTTAGTGGAATAATTGAAATTTCATTAGAAACTCCAAAGTTAAGCATGTTCATGCTGGAACACTCCTATAATGGGTGACCTACTAGGATGTTACACCAATGGGTCAAAATTGTAAGGCCATTAGGCCAAAGCAGACAATACCTTAACGTATGAGAGTTCGGGCAGTCACAAATGGTGTTAGAGCATGTTACACCAACCGAAAGATGAGAACTGAGTGTCATACAGAACAACGTAATATGCTATGAAAGCCACCTCTTGAACCCTAGATGGAATAAAGTGCTATAAGGTCAGAGCAATTTGAATCTATAGGGGATCGCCTCTAGAATCTCATGTGTCTGGTGCATGATTATGGATATAGAGCACTGACCAGGACGACAAGTATTTAAGTTAGAGTGATTTTGAAACTCATTAAGTAGACTGAAGCTGAACTCTTAAACATTAAAATGCTTTTTGATATAACGGTGGAATTTCATTAGAAACTTCAAAATTAAGCATGCTCTCCTTGGATTACTCTTGGGATGGATGGCTTCCATAGAATTTACATCAACAGGGCAAACTCATGAGGCCACTGGGCAAAAGCGAACAATACCTTGTTCGGTGAGAGTTTGGGTTGTCACACATGTATATACCAAGTTTATAAACTTATAGGAAGTTGTATAACATGCAGCTCTTTAGGTCGGACATCCTCATTTGTATTTTTTTCCTAAATTTCAATCCTATAAGAATCATTTGCAAGTTGCTTTTATAATTTTATTGTAGGTCTAAATGACCGACTATTCATTACTTTTGGTATTTCTCAAGATACATTTATCTCTAATGGCATCAATTTATTTATTTAACGAAATATCATATAAAAATTATGTCATGCATAAATTACTTCTCAATTTTTTGATCAACTACCCAAATCAAATCAACCTATAGCCCTATAATAGTTAAATTAAATTTTTAATCTCAATCCCTATTCGACTCTAAATTCAACTAGGCTTTCTTAAGAAGTGTAATTCAAATATTTGTTCTAATACTAATTTCAATCACATCCCACTAAACCCCCTTAAGCCCTAACAAATGTATAATAGAGACAATTCAGGCGGACATATTTTCCACCAATACTCATCCTGACTTTACTAATCATGCATGAGCGAACAAAAATATAGTCCACTTAAATCGTCACACAATCATGCATCATATTCCGTTGATATTATTTACCTATTAAATTATTTTTAAAGGCATTCGCTTAATTAGTATGGATATGTACTTGTTAACATTCGAAGTATACTAACAAGTATGAAAGGCTAGCATTACATGTAATAATTACCATTACATATTTAACAATGCATTATATCGTACAAATTTATCTTAACTTGAATTCTAAAACAATGTACTAATTCATTACAAAAAATAATCATAAACACGAGATTAAAACCTTGTTAATAGTATAAAAATATCCTCAATATGAAGAAAAATTTTCAAATATGCACATACAAATAGATATACTTATAGCAAGTTGCAGAAGTTAGACCTATGAACTATTTGATCCTTATTTCAGAAATTGAATGTCTCACAAAAGTTTATGAATTCCTCTCAACAAAATTTCTGATTGTCCTCATCTCAAAATTTTGATCTTTTATACACAACGAATTCAACCAAAAATTCACATTTTAATAAGCTCCTATTTTTTTAACTTAATTATATTAAAAATTTCACAAATTAATAATTTTAACTCAAAATTACCACCCCTGAAAATCTTGCATGCCTACTATCCATCAATCAAATCAATTCGTTGAAAAGGAATAAGAGAAATTGAATATTTACCTTCATTCCTAGTTTTTATTCATTTCTTCCTACCAGGTTTCTTGATGAAACAGAACTCGCAACCCTCCGCCAGCGCAAAGAAAGGCGGGAACAAACACGATCTAGGAGTACCTGATGTGTGAACGCCCGCAAGGGCAGCGACATAAGTTATGTCTGAAGTCATCACCAATGAAGGAGGTGAGGCGTTAGAAACAGTGAAGAGTGCAGAGAGCGAAAGATGAATCCAACACAGGGAAACAAGGATCGGGGCAGAGGAAAGCCCTTTGGTTCGAGCACAGACGACGGAAGGGAACATGTGAATCAGTGTGGAATTCGTCGCAAATCGTCCTTCAACGAGCATAGTCGATGAGGACAACGAAGAACGACGAAGGACGAAACCGCAACAGTAGACGAAGCCCGACACACTGCAACAGCACGACGAAGAACGAAACAGACTAAGTTGAGGCGCGAACCCCTTCTTTTTCGAGCACGACGAGGCAAGAATCAACAAAGCAGATGCCCGAGTTCACCATGAGGCGAAACCCAAGTAAATCCTTTCGTCATTCGATCTTAATATATATATTAGTTTATATATATATATATATATATATATAAATAATTTTTTCAATGGGTTTTGCTCAGCTAGGGTTTACTCTGGTCGCGACATGGCAACTCGAGTAGCCCTCGATACCTTTATGCTGGTAGAGAATGTATCATGTCCGTCGCTTCGTCGTGCTAGAAGAAGAAGGGTAGAGGTTCGCGTTGAAGCGGTTTCGTTGCCTCTTACAGAAGACGAGGAAAGGGTTGTGTCGTTGCAGGTTCGTTGTCCACCTCCGCACGAACTTCAGTCGCTACTTCTCCCAGCAACAGAGGCTCGATTTGATTTCTTAGATTTTATGTCCCGCACTACTTTTCTTCTTCAACACTTAGCTAGGACACAATCGAAGCTCCTCCTTCGCCTTGCTCCTCGACTCAGCTCGACAGCAGTGCGATCCTCTGCTCCAGAGTTCAACCTCAACTCCCCATTTCTTTCTTTGTTTTGCACTGTTGCTTCTATGACTATTGTTCCTCCCTTTCTTTGTTTTTTCACCCTTGCTTCTAGGACTACTGTTCCTCCCTCAAATCAGAACCTAGGAAGAGAATTTTATGTTGAGGCGCATGGAAGGGTCTAGACTCTGAGAAGGTTGTCGACCATTAGGTGTTTCCTCGGATCTATCATGATTCCGTTGAAGGGAAATTCGATTGTCCGTTTGATAAGAGAACTTGTAGAAAGGGTGGTAAAGCTGCTCTTATTTTTTCACACGCATTGGGAAATTTCAGTTGAGGCATCCCAAAATAGAGGTTATTTGCAAAGCTTTTAAGGATCTCAAACTAGTAGGACAATGGAAGGTTGGTCTCTTTGATGAAAAACATGTGATGATACGATTGACTACAAACAAAAACTATGCTAGGATTTTCTCCAGAAAATACCTCACCATTGAAGGAAAAACTATGAAGTTGCTTAAGTGGTATCCTGAATTTGATCCAAACCAAGAACCGCATACAGTAACAATTTTGTTTAAGTTACCTGAACTTAAGTTGCATCTTTTCATCAATCAGGTCCTTTATTCTATTGGGGCATGCTTGGGAGACCAATGAAATTAGACATAATTTCATCAGACCTTCTGTTGTCAGGATCCTTGTGGAAAGAGATATCACTTTATCTGACATTGAAGAAATTTGGCTTAGCACTACACATAAAGGGTATTGACAACATATTATCATGAAACAAAGACCATATTATTTGTTGCACCCATTTTAAGATGTTTGGACCCACTTGAAAAATGTTTCAAGCTCCACCCTAATTTGAAACTCCAACCTCAAGTGCCTCGCCAAACAACTCAAGAAGCACCTATTCCATCAGCTGATATGGTGAAAACTGCAACTAAAGAGGATATCCCCACTGATTTTGCCCCAGAAGAGCACCCCTCACTACCTCAGCCCCCTCATGTTGCCAAAAATGAGGAAACTCTCTTTTTGGCGCCAAATGATGCTCCATATGCTATGGAAACAATTATTGCTGATGTTCAGAGCCCTCAAACCATGGAGGAGTGCCAAATTCAAGGTGTGCAACAGGTAAAAATAGCCCTCATTGATGATCAA